ATGTAAGTTCTCTCTGTTAACATATTTCAAATTATAAAATACAATATTATCACAACTATAGTCACCATGTTATTATACATTAGATCCTGAGATCTTATCCATCTTGTGTGATTTTTACCAAGCTCCCCCTATTTCTTCTACTCCTAGCCTCTGGCAACTGCTTTTATTCCTTCTCTGTGGTTTTGACTTTCTCTTTCTTTCTTTCTTTCTTTCTTTCTTTCTTTCTTTCTTTCTTTCTTTCTTTCTTCCTTCCTTCCTTCCTTCCTTCCTTCCTTCCTTCCTTCCTTCCTTCCTTCCTTCCTTTCAGATTCCATATGTAAGTGATATCATACAATATTTGTCTTTCTCTGTCTGACTTGTCTCACTTAGCTTAATGCCCTGAAAGTTCATGTTGTCACAAACAACAGTATTTCCTTCTTTCTCAGAGTTGATAATTATGAGAGATCATTTTCAACCAGAATCCAACACTCTCCACACCTTTATTACATTTTAACTTATCATGAATGCTTCTCTGTTTGAAGGTAGGGAAAAATAGAGATTCCATTAAATAATCCCCCTTGACTGAACAGATAAGACATGCCTTTCATGCACACACCTCAGAGAGATCACTTTTTTCCAGATTCTGATTCTCACCATTCCAAGGACTGATAGTTTCTCCAGATTCTCAAGAATGGTTTTATTCCTGTTTGGGAAGAGGCAAAGACTTCTGAGGAAAAACGAAAACAAAATTGTTGTGTAAATCAAAATATAAATACACACACACACCACAATGAATTGGAGGAAGGAAGCATTGAACTAGACAGACAAAATTAATGCCCTCTTGGAGTTAAGCTTGTAACGGGAAAAGTAGACAAAAAGAAAAAGTCAAGAGGACACATTTTCACTTGCTATGGGAGAAAATATTAAAATTAGGATAACAGTGATTGTGAATAAGGAAGGTGATGCGGTTTTATCTAGCATAGTCAAATAGGCCTTACTGAGAAAATGGCATTTGAATAAACACCTGAAGAAAGTGAAGGAATGAATTGTGTAAGATCTAGGAAAAGAGAGGGCTAGGAAGAGGAACAAATCTTTGAGGAGACATATGTTCAGTATAACTACATCAGGGTAGTCAAGGGTAAGGATAGAATATAATGAATTAAAGAGGTAAAAAGAGGACATGATTTGTATGGTGCTGAAGGATTATGGGTGTTAAAAATGAAAAAAAAAAAATTGGTGGGGGACATTACTATACACAGTAATGTAACATGTTAAAATGAAGGATACTGGATGTGAGGTATATGAGAACTGTTTTTATTCTCTTTGCAAATTTCTATAAATCTAAAATTATCTGAAAATTTAAAAAGTGTACATTACAGGGACAAGAATGTCCAAGTCAGCTAATCATTACATTCTTATTCTTTCTGGAAGTTACTTAGGATGTCAATTTATGACTATAATTACTAAATAAAACAGTAGGGGAATGAAAAGTTCCTAAAATAATGTTGATGATGTTTCTCCTACAAATTTGAGACACACTTGCCCTCTCTCCAGAGAATACTTCAACAGCAGAGAGTAGTATCTTCTATCAAGCCTCCTGCTCTAAACAATGCTAGGTGTCTCCTGCCCAGTTCCCTTTTATCATTTTACCCCTTGCCACACATTTTTCTGGTGAATTGACCATCTCTTTTTAACTGAAAATTTTATCATTGATTCTGCCAATATTCTACATAGTCTTACAGAGTCACTTTTTACTCATCATGCTAATTAGAATGTTGCCTCTGGAAACACCAAAACCACTCATTTGATACAATGTAGTTGTGAGTTTTTGTAAAGAAAATGATATTAATAATGTGTTAAATATGTATCAGGCCCTGGACTAGTTATTTTAAACACATGGTTTTAGTTGATCATGTCAGTAAACCGGTGATGTCCTAATAAATGATTAATGTGTCTTCACTAAAATTATTATTGTTATAAATAACTGCTTTTTTCCTGGTGGAAGACCACTCATGCTTATTCCATTTATGATAGGCTTTCTCATGTGACTTGGATTGGCAAGTGAAATGTAGGTGGCAGATTTAAGAACCAGTATATGCCAAGTGCCCTTTGCCCTGTCCCATGATGATGACAATGTCCCAGTTAGATGTTCCATTAACCTGGGGCCCAGAATGAAGATAATGTCAAGTGGATATGCTCACCTTGGTCACAGAGTATGAGTAAGAAATAAACCTGTGTGACAGGAACCACTGAGATTTAGGAAAGGGGGTCCTTTTTTTTTTTTTACTATTAATAGCCTAATGTGCTCTATTATGCTTATTTAATCCATATTATGAGCCTAACTTTTGATGGTCCTTTTAAATATGGCTGCAGATTTGACCACTTTACACACATTATTCTTAGAGCATCATTAATATCCAAAGATCTATTTAGGTAATATAGTTATGGTTAAAAAAAAAAATCTAACCATTATGTAATAGAATTTTGACTTGAAAACTGACAATCTGGCAAAGAGAATTTACAAAAATATTTTTTTTTACATTTGAAGCCTCATTTGCAATAAATCACTCTCCCAGTGTGAGTGCTCTAAATAATATTCATTTGAATAAATAATTCTACTATATGTAGTGTATATATATATATATACATATAAGTTGTATATATATATATATATATATAAAGTTGTGATATCACTTTGAGAAATGGCTGCCTATCTGACATTAGTCAACTTTTTGCCTAATATGCAAACAAATGCTGAGATATCTAACTCATATAGAATGTATCCTTTCAAACTATTTATCTGAATTTTTTCAGATTCCTTTTCACCATGAACATCAAAGCTTTCTTGATCTTCTTTCTCAGATATGGACTCAATTGCTTCATTTCTTAAATGCCAAAAGCACTCAGTTTGCTCTCTCATTAGGACAGACACCATACTGTTACATATTAAGATGTGGTATGATGGTATCACAGAGTGGTGAACTGCATGTGCTCTGCCATTTACTAGCCATGAGATTTTCTTATTCTATAAAATGGGGAGAGCGATTTCCATGTCCAAAATTTTTTTTATAAAGTTTAAATGAGGGGCGCCTGGGAGGCTCAGTCGGTTAAACGTCCGACTTCGGCTCAGGTCATGATCGGCTCAGGTTCCTGGGTTCGAGTCCCGCCTCAGGCTCTGTGCTGACAGCTAGCTCAGAGCCTGGAGCCTGCTTCGGCTTCTGTATCTCCCTCTCTCTGACCCTCCCCTGCTCATGCTCTCTCTCTGTCTCAGAAATAAGTAAAACATTAAAAAAAAGTTTAAATGAGCTGATCTATATAAGTTCTTAACAGTGCCTGTCATATAGTAAGGTCTCCAAATATCAGTTATTTATTATTATTGTTGCTATCATTATTTTCTTCATTGTAATAAACTTATTTACTTATAAACTTCTCTTTATTTCGAGCTAGCTTATTTATAAATATCTGTTTATATGTATTATGATAGCTGTGTGTTTAATCAGCTTATCTTCATTCTCAGCTAAATATTATGTTCTTGGCTATAAGAGACATTTTTAATTGGAATTGTTAAAAGATAAACTGAGGCATATTAAACTTTTAATTTTACTCAAAATTTACTCAAATTGACAGTACCCAATCTAATACATAGAATGTCACTGAGGAGCTGTACAAAATGAAAGACTTTTATGGCCCCAAGGGAGCAGAAACAAGGAAGTAATTCTAGACAGAAAAGCAGATTGTTTATGGCAGTCATTAGGGCATGGCAGGGGTCTATCAGGCAGACTACCTAACTAGTGCTGTTCAGGTGATTTGATTCCTGACTGACTGGTTTAAGATTTTTTTCCTAGGATCGCTGAAACTGTAATTAAGTCTTGGTTTGTGAAATGACTCTATTTTGTATGTTGTCTTGTTTTTAACAGTATCTATTGTGTTATTCATTACAGCAGCTTAAACACATATCATAGTAGATGCAGAATTGTCCATTTAAACTAATTACAATCATAATTCCAGGAGACATGATTCGTATCCCAGTCTGCTATTATGGTCTGTGTCACTTGAAAACATTATTGAAACTCTCCAAATTCTTGTTTATTCACCAATGAGTTGGAGTTAATAATATCGGCCTCCAGGTTAGATGGCCATTAACTGAGGTAATATACATAAAAGCTTCACCACAGGGCCTGACGCATCACTAAGTGCTCAATTGATGGTAGCTAGATGCACAGTAAGGATGGACACAATGACTAAGAGATTATTCCAACCATTTTTACCTTGTTTCTCTACTTTCTACTAGTATCTCTCACATGTAAAACCTAAAATAAAATCTAAGTTTCCATTAAACTTTGTTTATGTTGCTCTTCAGATGTTTTCTAACTATAAATATTGCCTCTAACATCACATTTCAGGATTAAAAGTGTCACTCTCTTTTCTTGTTTTGTTGTATTATTTTTTTCCTTTTTTTTTTTTTTTTTTTGGTACCCCTGGTTGATCACAGAGGTAACTCACAGTAGGTGCTTAATAAATATTTAAAACTTGGCCTTTGAAAACACTAGATATTTCACTAAAATTAGGTTGCATTTAGAAATCTCAGACAGCCCATTAATAGACTCACCAAGACCAAATTTTGAAAAAGTCAAGCTCTTTCTTAACTCCCATAGGTAAGAAATGTTAAACTGTCAAGAATTGTTATTAAAAAAAAACTATGATTTAGTATTTACAGTGACAACTTGATGTAATTCATTACTTCACCAATATTCTCAGTAAGCAATTCCTCACACTAAAAAATATTCTTAAATAGATTAAGCTTGTAGTTTGTTTCTCTTATTTACATTAAATTAGTATTGTGCAAGTTCATAGGCCTCTAAACATGTTTAACCTTGAAAAATGTTTTCTTTTGCTACAATACGTCAAATTACCTTTAAGGAGAGGGAGTTTGATTTCTTGGTGACATTTACCATAATGAAGAAACTCTTGAGTTTTATATTTAAATGGTCTCATGTTTTGTCTTGTCTCTTCTTTTGTAGGCATCAATTGTGAAGTAAATATAGATGAATGTCTATCAAAACCCTGTCTCCATAATGGACCTGGCACTGATGGCATCAATCATTATACCTATGACTGCAAGAGTGGATTTTTTGGAACACACTGTGAAGCAAATGCAAATGATTGCCTCTCAAATCCTTGTCTACATGGAAGGTAGCTATTTTTTTCTATTATTAAATCCAAAAGTAAATTTAACTCACAATATTTAAGATTTAATGTCAAGGGAAAGTTGATAAAGATAATTTTAATTATGCTCTTTCATAAAACAAGAGCTAAGCACAGTTAAGATGACAGATGCTGCCTGTTTTACTTAATGCAATGTGCTGATACATCATCTCTGCCCTTCTTTTATTTCTGCTCATTAGCATAAAGTAATTTTCAATAAATGTGGATTAATTGGACTTTAATATACTTAAAGGTAACTGCTCTCAGTAATAGAAGTAGAAGGTATGATGATGAGACATTCTATTATTTGTTCTGTGAAGGGATAATACCACACACTTAGTATTTAAAATGTCCCTAAGTAGACTGGTTCTTTCATCCCTATGAGCATGTAAGGTATTGTTTGGTTGTCATTATGGAATTGTATATTGACTATCCTGCTCATGGATAGAATACTACTTTATGCAAATTTAGACCCCGATATTTCTAGGAGATGCAGGCAGCAAAGAATAACTCATAGATGCACCTGCCTACCTCTGCAAGCATTAGTTTTCTTATTTACTCCTGCCCCTGACTTTCTAAGCAAGGAAGAGAGGATGAGGATAGGTAGCTCATTGCAGTGCAGTTTGGCCATAGCTGGCTTCAGTCCCCTACATAAATTCTAGACATACTATTTATCTTTCTTTGTATTGCCATGGGGAAGATGACAAAAATTAAAATTGATCTGTTTTTTCTGTCCAGTCACCTTGAAGGATAAGAAACCAGGAACAGACTCTGCCTTCTAATGCTTATGGGAATGTATTTTTTTAACCTTAACTGGAAAAGAAAAACTTAAAATGGTGAAACTCCCTTGAAATTAGGCTTTAATATCTTACCTATTTAAAAATTTAATTCTGTGTTTCAGATGCATAGATCTCATTAGTGAATATCAATGTTCATGTATTGAAGAATGGACTAGTTCAAGATGTGAGATCAAGATTAATGTAAGTTTCATAATTTTTATTAAATCGAAAGTAATTTAAAATAAAAACCAAACTATTTGCTATGAGTTTCAAAGTTATCTACAGTTATCGAAGATTTAACTGCTCTTTCAACTTTCTTCTTTGGAGTTTCTAAGTTGTCCTAAACAGAATGAAAAATCACAGCTTCTTTTCATTTTTCCTCCTCCATTGTTATCATCAATTTCTACTATCTGGATCACTCATTAATTAAATCCTGGGGGTGGGGCCCTGGGGGGCTCATTCAGTTAAATGTCTGACTTAAGCTCAGGTCATGATCTCATGGTTTGTGAGTTCAAGCCCTGCTTAAGGCTCTGTGCTGACAGCCGTAACACTCTTGGACTTGTTTTATTTTTGAGAATAAAATAAAATTGTTGGACTAGATTTTTGCTAAGTGTTTGTTCCATGGACTATCAGCTTAGGAATCACGTGAGAGTTTGTTAGAAATGGAGAAACTCAGGCCTCATATCAGATCTTTTGAGTTTAAATCTTCAGTTTAACAAGCTACAGAGTATTCATAGTCAATTTATGCCTTAGGAATAGTAGACTACGGTAGTATTTTTTATTCAGAGCTACACACAATTGAGAAATTCTGTGACTTTTAATAAGAGTTTTCACTGGATAAGTTAAGGCTGTAATGGGTACCATGTTCCATTTCTATTCTTCAGATAGAAGAGTTTAATGATTATCTGTTTAATATATTCTGTTTCTCCAAAATCTTATTTGAAGAAAGTAGCCCATTACCTTAAAAATAGCAGTGTAAGAAAAGAAAACACATGATTCTCTGAGAGAAATTCTTTGATAAAGAGGATCTCAGGTAATAACTTTCTTTCTTTTGGGAAGTTCAGAGATTAAAGAACAACTTCTGGATCTAACCTACACAACTCAGATGGAACACAACTATCAGAGAGATAATTGGTACATTGACTAGCCAATCTGGTAGTTTGCTCTGGCTAAACAGTCCATAATGAATGCATCCCTGCTCTTTTACTGCTATACTTCTGTACATTTTCTGGCATGGCATTTGGAATGCAAGTTGAATGAATATAGTATTGGGGTATAGCTTAATTGTCCAGATTGCCCTGATCTGCAACATCACTCTTAACTTTGTTTTCTGTCTCTAAAAACCCCAACATTTTATTTTTCTTATTTTCTGAAATTAAATTAGTAAATTATTCTTGGAAAACACTTTATTGTATTTAAATAGAGTAAAGGAAAATAATATAAATTATGACAAACAGAAAAAAAGCCATCTGCCTTAAGTTTTATACCAGGAAAGATTAAGAATTTTAAATGAATATTTGATTTTTTTTTCTAAAAAGAAATTGCTTTTGTTTTTTCCATTAAGCCTGCTAATTAATTGGTAAAAGATTCTTGTTAACCCTAGAGACAGAACTTTTGGCAGTCTAAAAACAATCCTTTTCTTCCCATGGGAGATATAATTCAATTAGTTTATGTAATGCTTTCTAATAAATCATTCTATATATACCCAGCCATATGGCTAAGAAGGAATCATGTTGTTTCCATGTTATTCCCTGTGGAATTCTGCATTCACATTTCATGAAAATAACTGCGGTACCTTTACAAAGTCTACTAAGTGCCCTTGGTTATCCTTAAGGAGTTTACATTTTCAGCAAAGGTAGAACAAATATCCAAATGGCATTCATTTATAAAATCATAGATTTAACTCTATCACTTGAGCAAGTATAAAAGATCACCATCTGGGTTCCAAACGTGACTTGAGTTTCATAATCAAGGGCACAATCCATTTCTTATTGAAAGGGATACTAATTAAATTCTCTAGTTATTTTTGATAAATCCTTAATTTCCCATTTGATAAATGATATGAATGCAATGTTGTCATATTAGCCATTTCAATGTGAGTTTTATTGTTATGTTAACACTTTTTAAAAGTCACTAAATGTTTATAAGCATAAATGTCCAACTAATGATAGTTCTAGAAAATACCACTTTTCAGAATAAGTTAAAGAAATATTGGTGCGCCTGGGTGGCTCAGTCTGTTTAGTGTCTTACTTCAGCTCAGGTCATGATCTCATTGTTTGTTGGTTTGAGCTCCGCGTCTGGCTCTGTGCTGACAGTTAGCTCAGAGCCTGGAGCCTGCTTCGGATTCTTTGTCTTCCTGTCTCTCTCTCTCTCAGAAATAAATAAAATATTAAAAAAAGAAATATTTTATATTGTATATGTAATTTTCTCTAAAGATGTAGTAACTTAAATTCCAGAGTGAAAATGATTCATATTTCTGTATATTCATTAAGAAATCCTGGGGGTGCCTGGGTGGCTCAGTCATTTAAGCGTCCAACTTCAGCTCAGGTCATGATCTCATAGTTTGTGAGTTCAAGCCCCAAATGGGGTTTTGTGCTGTCAGCTCAGAGCCTGGGATCTGCTTCAGATTCTGTGTCTCCCTCTCTGCCTTTTCCTCACTCATACTCTGTCTCACTCTCAAAAGTAAATAAACATTTAAAAATTTTTTTTGAAAAGAAATTCTGTGTAGACAACATATTAAGAGCACATAAAATGTTTTACTAATGATGTCATAAAGTTCCATAAATTATTTCTCAGAATTATAGGTGCAAATCTCTTTAGAGTTAACATTACCAAGAAAAATGGTGTCATTCCATGTTTAAAGCACCCGGCTTTGTGCTTTCCAGGAGATGAACACATGTGTAATATCCAAAATGTAAACTTAAGAAGCATATGGCATGTTATGGTAGACATTAAATATACCAAAAAAAACCAAAAGAAAAATAAAAAAACAACCCAAAAAACTCACTTACTATTCTAGGCAAATGCCAAATGATTTAAATAGAAGCTGACAAGGGCTTTGGCCTTCAGCATATAAAGGGAAAGTATACAACATTTACTGAATAGCTGTTATGTCCCAAGAAAGGGCTAATTACTTTATATTTATTATTTTATTAAATTCTCGTTGGAACCTGTATGAAGTGGATGAAATTATCACCATTTTATGCAAAAATATACCTACATTAAATAAAATTCCATTTATTTCATAAGTGGGTAAAAATAGTATAAAAGCATAAAAACATTCCAGTGCTGAAAAAATAAGAGACAGATACTTTCTAAGTTCCTAAAAACTTAGTTTCTAACTCCACAAAGCCCCTGTATTTCTAGGGTTATATGATGCAGAAATGTCAGACACAAATTTGGGAAAATACATAGGAAAATTGTCTAATTAAGAGATTATGATTAGATACATAGTAACTCTAGACCAGGATGGTGACTTATGGGGCTCTTGAATTTCCCTCCTGCCATGGATGCTCTGAGTGTACAGCTGTGCACAGAGTAAGTCCCCTAGAGAGAAATTCAGAAATTACCACACATTGGGCAACTGATAAAATAAACACACTAAAATTGATAAGAAAGTTGAGACACACTCTCACCACAAATCCCACTCCTGCACACTGCCATACAACGAAGAAGAAATCTCTAATTTCCAGCTTCTCCCTGAGAAGTTATGGGTTTGGATCACACTCTAGCATCCTGAATTTTAAGAAAGCATGAATCTAGAGCTTTTGTATACATTCAAAGTTAAGTTGTTAACATGGGCATGCCATGCTCTAAAATAGACAAAATACAAATGTTAGTTGCATTTCTTGATTTAAAAAAAATGTTTATTTATTTATTTAGAGAGAGAAAGAGCAATCATGAGTGTAGGAGAGTCAGAGAGAGAGAGAATCCCAAGGAGGCTCTGCACTGTCAGCACAGAGCCTGATGCAGGACTTGAACTCATGAACTGTGAGATCATGACCTGAGCAGAAATCAAGAGCCAGACACATAGCCTCTGAGCCACCCAGGCACCCCCCAGAATTATTTCCATTTCTATACACAAACAATGAATTATCAGAAAGAGAAAATAAGAAAGCAATCCCATTTATAATAATATGAAAATGAATAAAATTCTTAGGAATAAATTTAAGCAAGGAGGTGAAAGATGTATACACGCAACACTGTAAAACGTTCATGCAAGACATAAGACATTCATGAAGGTACAGAAAAAGAAAAAAAGGAGAGAAAAGATATTTCCTATTCTATTTTTTTACATTTTCTTTTAATGTTTTTTATTTATTTCAGAGAGAGAGACAGCATGGGCAGGGGAGGGTCAGAGAGAGAGGGGGACACAAAATCTGAAACAGGTTCCAGGCTCTGAGCTAGCTGTCAGCACAGAGCCCAACACGGGGCTCAAACCCACAAACCATGAGATCATGACCTGAGCCTAAGTCAGACACTCAACCGACTGAGCCACCCAGGCACCTCTATTTCCTAAACTTAAATTGAAAGAATTAATATTGTTAAAATGTCCATACCACTTATAGCAATTTATAGACTTGATACTGATACCACTCTTATCAAAATTCCAAATGCATTTTTCAAAGAAATAGAAAAAAAAACCTAATATTTGTATGCAACCACAAAAGACTCCAAATAGCCAAAGAAATCATGAGAAAGGAGAACAAAGCTGGAGGCATTAAACTTCCTGGTTTTAAACTATATTGAAAGCTATAGTAATTAAAGCAGCATGGTTTGACATAAAAAGAGAAACACAGATCAATGGAACATAGTAAGGAGTCCAGAAATAAATCTATGTAAATATGGTAAATTAATTTTTTATAAAGGAGACAAGAATGCACATACAGAAAGGATAGTCACTTCAAAAAATGGTGTTGGGAAACTGAGAGCCACATGCAAAATAATGACTGGACTCCTATCTTATACCATCACAAAACCAACTCAAAATGGGTTAAAGATCTGAAAGTAAGAGCTGAAATGTTAAAACTCCTAGAAGAAGATATATCTGGTAAGCCCCTTGATATTTGATTTTAGCGATCATTATTTTTTTTTTGGATTTGACACCTAAAGCAAATGCAACAAAAGGAAAAATAAATAAGTGGGACTACATCAAACTGAAAAAGCTTCTGCACAGCAAAGGAAAGAATTAACAAAATTAAAAGATACCTATGGAATGGGAGAAAATATTCACAAACCACATATCTAATAAGGGATTAGTATCCACAATATATAAAGAACTCATACAACTTAACAGCAAAACAAAGAAAACAAACAAACAAAACTCCAAATAACCCAGTTTAAAAAATGGGCAAAAAAACTTGAGGAGACATTTCTCCACTGAGAGAATGTCCAATAGATATATGAAAAGGTGCTCAACATCACTAATCATCAGGGAAATGTAAACCAAAACCACAGTAAGATATTGTCCCAACCTATTAGGAGGTCTATTAGCAAACACACAAGAGATAACACATGTTGGCAATGATATTGGTACTGCTTATGGCTGTGTAAACTGGTAGAGTCACTATGGAAAACACTATGGAGGTTTCCACAAAAATAAAAATATTACCATCATATGATCCAGCAATCACACTTCTGGGTAAATAACTGAAGGAAATTACCCATCACCTTGAAAAGATATCTTTATCTCCATGTTACTGTAGTATTATTCACAATAATCAGGGCATGGAAACAAACTGTCCATCAATAGATGATTGGATAAAGAAAATGTGGTGTCTATATATACAATGGAATATTATTCAACCTTGAAAGGAAGGCAATTCTACCATTTATGACAACATTGATAAACTTGAAGGGCAGCATGCTAAGGCAAATAAGCCAAACTAAAAGACCAATACTGTACTACCTGGGATCACTTATAAAAATAATCTTAAAAAAATGTTTGGTTTCACAGATACAGAGAATAGAATAATTGAGTAGGAGGGTGGGAGAAATAGAAAAGGCAGGGAAATCATACAAACTTTTAGCTATAAGATGAATAGATTATGGTGATCTAATAAATAACATGGTGACTATATTAATAACACTACAATTAAAATTTTCTAAGAGAGTAGAACTTAAGTGTTCTTACACCCTCCATTCTCAATAAGAAAAAGGTAAATATCTGTGGTGATAGCTGTGTGAATTAGCTCAGCAATGGGAATCATTTCACAATGTATGTGTATATGAAATCATTATGCTGTACACTTTAAATATAGTGCATGGGTTTTTTTGGTCACATATACCTTAATAAATCTGAAAAAAGAATATACGTATTAAAATGATTTTGGTGGAAAAAAGGATTCTGAATGGAATAAAACTCAGGTATTAAGGATGCCTTGTTTTTTAGAGAGATGTAAGTCAATTGTGAATTATCTGTTGTAAGTATGTGTTTGAACCCAGGATTCCTTTGAGAGTTAATAAGGGCACTATTAATCACCCTAGGACAACAGAATTAATCTGGGGCTGTTCCAGGCAAACTGGCATGTATACTAAGGTTCAGTGAATTCCTGAAATGATATACATAGGAAACAGTGTAGCATCATTCTTTGGGTATGTGGGGGAGTAGGTGTTTACTACCATGATACGTATTTTAGTAAAGTTTAATAAAGTTGTTTTTTTTATTTCTGAAAAATAAACAATGGGACATTTCTGGTGACAAAAAGTGAAAATCATTTATTACCAAAAACATATTTCAGTTCCTAGATGAATGGAATAGCAGATAAACTTGCATATTGATTTCTTAAAAATGTTTAAAGAAAATATAAATTTAATAAAATTGTTAGTCTTATCGCTAATAATCAAATTTGATTATTTCTTAATAGAACTGTACATCAACTCCTTCAATGAATGAAGACTTCTGTCAGAAATCAGTCGATGACTTTACTTGCATTTGCCCAGGTGGATTCACTGGTGCATATTGTGAAGTACATATTAACAGTTGTGCTCAGCCTGAACTGAATTTGGTCCTCTGTCATAATGGAAGGATTTGTGTTGATAGACCTGGACACATGTTTTACTGCAGGTCAGTATTTATTTACCCACAATTAACTAAACATATATTTAGGAAAGCATATAAACCTCATAAGAGTGATGCACTCTGAAATATAGATACTAAGTTTTTGAGTAAATTTTCATATTAAAAAAATGAAATCACAAAGTTAAATCCACAATTCTTTTTTTTTAAATTTTTTAATGTTTTATTTATTTCTGAGAGACAGAGAGAGACAGTGTGATCAGGGGAGGGTCAGAGAGAGAAGGAGATACAGAATCTGAAGCAGGCTCCAGGCTCTGAGCTGTCAGCACAGATCCTGATGCGGGACTCTAACCCACGAGCTGTGAGATCATGACCTGAGCTGAAGTCAGTCACCCAACCGACTGAGCCACCCAGGGGCCCCTAAATCAACAATTCTAAGGAAGCATTGCTTACATGTTTTTCCAAATACTAAATATTCATATAAATTCCATGTTGGACATCCAAATTTCATTATCTCTCATTGTATCATTGTTTTATATCCCCTATTCTTCCCAGAATTGAATTCTTGTTTATTTTCTTAAATATTTATACCACATGAATGACACATAAATAGTTCATATTTATAATAGACTTATTATAAGGATTCATTACTCCTCTTGCTGTACTTACAATTTTAAGATCTTAACAATTCATAAAAATTTTTATGTGCTAAGATTATAAAAATGAATTAATGTGTCACTGTATTTTTTAACCAACTACTATTTAAGGTACCTTTTAAAAATTCTTAGGAGATAATTTTCATTACCTGTGTTTTTTATGATGATATAATATATAATTGGTTGATATTCTGAGAATTTAGCCATTAGCTGTTCTATTTGTAAAATGTTAATTGAACCCACATATTTACAAAAAACAGTTTACCCCCTCTATTTCATTCTGATTTTTGAGAGCTTGATATTAAGTTAAAATCTGTGAACAACTGTGTTTCCCTTAAAAATCTTAAATTATGGGAAGGTTGGACATGTTTCTTTTGGTGTGTAGTTATTTAACAGTAAAGTGTATCTATTATTTTTATATTTATCAAGTAATTCTTTTTAAAATTATTAATATATTGTGCATTATGTTTAACATTGCCCCCACATATTTTCTTTGTTCAGTATCTCCAGTGTGTTTTTGTTCTTTATTTATTTTTATCTGTTGTATTATTTTATTAAAAGCATATATCTAATAAGGCTTACATAGGGAATTGTTTTTACATAAACCCATCATTATTATTGTTTCATTTAACATACACAGACAGTGTTAAGTTATCATTATGACACAGTTATTGTTTATTACATATGATCTAACTTGCCATTTTTATTTGTAGTGTGGGTTTATGTATTGTCTCTGCTCTATATTGTATTTTTGAGCATGAATTTTGCTTGATTTACTCTGGTGGTTTGATAAAGTATAGAAAGTAAAGATGTTTCCAATATATTTGTAATTTTTAAAAATATCATTATAAAAATGGTCACTTAGCCACTGTAAGGACCCTCTGGCTATACCTAATCAGTGCCTGCATGAAGTCAACAACAGTAAGTTCAACTTTTATTTCCAATTAATACTCTGTTATTGTAAATCATGGAAACTCATTCTGTTCAGTAAAAAAATAGAAATAAGTGAAGCTAAAACTAAAATGTATTTTTTATAGCCTTGCCAATTCAAGCACTATAAAAGCTATGCTACAAATATTCCTTTTAGGGGATGTTATCAATGGGCTAGTTGGGCTGACCTTTCTTAAAGCATGAAGTCCGTGGAATTTCGACTGAAGAGGTCTGTTTCTTTTCCTGGCTTATCTCCCAGGGACATAGGCAACCATTATAGCTAGAAGGTTATTCAAATTAAATTTTTTTAAAGTAGACTCCACTTAAAAAATGCAGAGCTTGAACTCAAAACCCTGAGATCAAAAGTTGAGCTGAGACCAAGAGTCAGATTCTTAATGACTAAGCCACCCATGCACACCCAAACTGCAATTAAATAAGAGTTGTCTGTCTTCAAACTTCCCTGCTGTTTGAATATTCCTGTAAGCTCCTGAAAGTCTGTGAATGGTAATTTAAATGCTTGGAAATTTCAGTTTCTAGGGGACTTGCACAGTGATGTGAATAGCCATAGATGTTGGAGCCAAGTTAGCACAATCCTCAAGCTATTTATTTACGAAGAAAACTCATCAGAGGGACTGTTTTACAAATTAAATCATAAATTTGTTTGTAGATTAAGGATTAACCTGTGATTTATTTATTTAAACCATAATACAATAGGGATGCCTGGGTGGCTCAGTCATTAAGTGTCCTACTTTAGTTCAGGTCATGATCTCATGGTTCGTGGGTTCAAGCCCCACATAATGCTCTCTGCTGACAGCTCAGAGCCTGGAGCCTGCTTCAGATTCTGTCTCCCTCTCACTTTGCCCCTCCCACACTTGTGCTCTCTCTGTCTCTAAAATAAATAAACATTAAAAAATTTAAGCCATAATAAAATAATCATCTTTATTTAAACAATTGTACCAAACCTACTGTTGATTCCTATTTTCCACTCTTCAAATTTAATTTAAAAAAAGTGTACTTTTAGAAATATGGTAAAATTTTTGTCATTGTCTTTATTATGCTCATTTTCCCTCAATGTTTACACAAATCAGTGTTAATGTTTATATTCTTATTGCTGGTTTATTGGTTAATCAGCTTTCTAAATTTTGTTTGATTTTAATTGGGGAAAAAATCAAAGCCTGTACATTTACACCTTCATGAGACTTATCCTGAAGTCTTCTTTTTAATGAAATTTTGTTAGTAAAATATTTCAGCCTTTAATGATCTATAGAATTTTCTATACTGTTGGTTTTCTAACGATTTCAGGAAAACTAATTTTCTTCTGACTGAAATCTTATGCTCTATGAAAAACTGTCTGGAAAATTTGAAACTGCCGTCCTAAAATATTTTGTTGTGTTCTTAGCTTAACGTATGAATTAGAACTTGGAGAAGTACAAATTTTTAGACCTTATTATCATTTGAGGATTATTTACTTAATGTTGTTATTTTGCTTTCATTTCCATCATTGTAGAAAATAAACAAGAGAACGGCCTATTCTCATGAACATTATGTTTTATGAATGCAGTCGATTCAGTTCCTTCATGAATGCTGATACACAATTTTTAATTGTTTAATTAAAAATGATGTATAAAATACTTAGCCAATGACTGGCCTATAGAGTCTTTAAAATTTAATTCTCTTCCTTTTTATCTTTGACATTGAAGCATTTTACCAGAATGTGTGATGTTATATATTTTTCTATTTATTTCTTCATATCTGGAAAATTTTATTATTCTGTTACTAATCTTTTTGGCATTAATACTGGTTCACTCAATCTGCATTCTTCTTTGGGCACTAATATTGCTTACATACTGTAATAACAAATTTTAAACTCTGTCAGGCATTTTATTCCTTTTTCTATTTTTATATCTTTTTAAATATTCCGTCTGAATTTGTCTATATACTTCTCAACCATTTTTATCTGGTTTTATAAAAGTTTTCCTTAGGGCAGTATTATTTATTTGCTCTTACATTTCAGTGGATATGCACTTTTTAAGTAGCTGTTTTCTTCTATTGTAAATGCAATGCCCACTTAGCAAAACATAGTATTATTTTCTGTTTACAAAGTAATTTATTTGAAGAGTACATCATTTTCCTTAAAGTTCTTATATGTTGCCTGATTTTTTTTGTTAGAATTTTTTAAGTTGATTGGGATTCTCAGTTACTAACATTTTTATGCTTGATTTATTGATTTTTATTGCTGTTAGCCAAATGACTCATATGACCACTTTTATATCCCACATTTATTGACCAGACTCTTCTTTTTTGAATTATTTCTGTATCTATAAGATTGTTTTAAATGATAGGACTTACCACTTAAGGAGTGGAGTAGGAGCATGTATTAATGCAGAGGCATGCCTGAGAAAACCTTCTTTAATTACATGTGTTCTTGTGGCTTATATCCAAGGTGAAATTGCTTGCCATATGTGGACCCATTTAAATATCTCCATTTTACTCTCTAGACATTTAGTGTTGGGTATGAGATGTGTCAGATTTATAGTTTGGTTATTGCCAATACTTCTTGTGAAGACATATGATTAGTTTAGATTATTTTATAACTGCAGCAATGACACAAATTAAGAATAGCCACTATTGGGGCACCTGGATGGCTCAGTCAGTAAAAGCATGCAACTTTTATTCTCGAGTTGTGCATTTGAGCCCTACGTTGGGTATGGAGATTATTTAAATAAATAAAAAACAAAAAAAAGAAAAAATAGCGAATACTCATTATTTAATCTTCCTTATAGTCACCTAATTTTGAAAGGCATAGGTAGCATCTTTAAGTAGAAAATAAAAGAAAGGAAAAAAGAAAGGATGTACTAAAGTCTGCCCCTTTAGAATGTGATCCTGAAAGATGGTAAAATGAATAAGCCCATGATGTGTAGCTAGTTTCCTCATTATAACAGACAAATATGTAGGTAATATTGCTTTGAATATTGACATGAATTAAATCAGTTAACCATTTCAAGGAAGATAAGCTAGGGTTAGTTTTAGATAAATAATAACTGGGCTGTTAGGTGCCAAGGAACATTATGTTGAAGTAATTCAAATATACTGTAAAGACAATTTTACAATCATACTTCAAATAATTTCTGGAGAAGTGATAGGACATTTCAAATACCTAAATTTATTTTTAGTAATATATGTGTTAAACAACTCAGACTCTAAGTGAGGTCATTTATATTTCCCAATGAAGATATATTAACTTAATAATATAAATATTTAAAATTCTAAAAATGATCAATAATTGATGAGATTTTTAAAATCTTTGCTATTATTTGCTACTTTAAAAGAAATGAAAATAACCTTTTGTGCCGAAAATATAATAATTTTTTATTGTATATGTCATCCAAACTCAAATGGCATTTCTTATTAATACATTGAAATTTAGGGATAAAAAATATTTTAGAGATTATCTCTAGTGGTCTAGTTAGTATGTAGAAGAAGCAAAAGCATAAGAGTATAAAGTATAGAAGCAAAAGTATAGGAGTTTTATACTGTCAGTTGCCTGCTAAGTCATGATCAGTGGGAAAGTTAATTCTAGAACACAGTGGTTTCTTTTTTAAATTTTCATTAGATTACTAATACAAAAAAATATATATATATACATATGGTTAAAAACGAAAAAAGTGTATAGTCGGATACCATGAC